CTTAAAGTTGTAAAGTACTTAGCTAGCTCTTATTCCAACATATTGTTATAAATTCTACAAAGTTACATGTAAAGAAAATATTTGGAAAGCACAAGTTTATAAATATAGGAATACCTTGTTATCAAATTTTCTTCTAGAACATGCAAGATGATCCCTGAAATATCTATGGATCCAAGGAGTCCACACCTTTGGACCAACATCTCAGCCACATCAGCACCAAAACAGAAGCCTGTTTTAGATCATTGTTTCCCAGAATCAAGACAAACGAGTGGCCCAAAGGGCAACCCATTAGAATAGATACCAGGAGAAAGGAAACAATGAGATTTCTCTTCAGAAATCCAGAGTTAATAATGTATATAATAAAAAACAGGTAAAAAGTGGTATACAACAGTAGAGAGGCAATCATAGTTTGTAAAGCTTTTATATGGGCCTTGGTGCTGGCATCTCTGGACCCTCTGACATTGTGCCCCATCCTCTTCAGATGTTTCCACAGGGAGAAGATGAGCAGGATGAAAGTTGTCAGGGATACAGTAAAGGGTATGAGTGCTAACCCAATCTGCATGAAGAAAACAATTCTGGTAAACCCTGTAGAATCACTTGAACTGGAACTGCAAGACATGTTTGTTTTATATTCACTAATCCTTTCATTACCATAGATTTTCATTAGTAAGATATTTAAGAGCAATAGAACCAGAGACACCAATAAGGTCACTGAAATGACCTTCGTAACTCTCCACTTTAGGTAAAGAAAAGTAGCATTGGAAAAGTTGGCTATCTTTAGAAAATAAAAGATGCTGAGACACGCAGAAAGCCACATGTTAAAATGACTGGTCACTGACCAGGCAATATAAATCATTTCTACCATGTCTTTAGTCATTAGTAAATCTGGATAAAACTCATGTAGCCACCAATTTAGGAATTGCAGCCAGAGAAAAACAATTCTGGAGATTGCCAAAGAAGTGATGATTTGATTAGCTGAAGAAATCTTTTTTCTCTTGATCCAGTCCACGAAATTCACCACTGCTATGAATCCATTCACAAAATTTCCTATTATGTACTCCACAATTACAATGATTGACAATATGTTTTGCAGGACACCACCCATTGTCTGTCAGAGAAGCTCCAGTGTCTAATAACACTGCTGAGGATTTGTTAATGCATTCAAAAAATGATGTGTACCTTCTTCTTGATAATTCAGAACATGCTCTCCTAAACAACTTGCCTATGGAATATCAGGTAAACAATAAAACATGAAGATATCCAGGGAGTAGGTTTATAGCTTGCTGTGGGAAAATCTTGTATTTGCTCCGATAGCCCAGCTAATCTTCTTGTAGCTACTGTGTGCTTTACTCACAGCAGCCTTGAGTCTGCAGTTGATGATGAGAAAAGCAGTGAAATCCATCTGCTAACATGCACATGATGATATTTATTTGCATCATTATGCTGCTTTGTTTCATTTCCATAACTGAACCTGGCTACTTGAGTTCTTGGTACATAACATAACAAAACTCCACCATACGCATAAAAGAAGAAGAATTTAACTGCTGTAAGGAAATTCCAAAGCACTGAAGGTTCTTCAGATTTCAAAATTCAAACTATATACGGATTTATTCATAAACTGGGCAAAGCTCTTCTTACAAACTATCAGTGATCCAATAATCTCATGCTGTCTTTATATTTTAAATGCTCAGTATTGAGAAAAATATTTATTATTTAATTATTACAAAAACATACATGCACACATTCCCCTCTAAGCTCACGCTTATTTGGATCCAATCTCCTTTTTTTACACTTTATTTCAGTTTATTCATTTACTTAACGTTTAGTATGCATCTATCTCATGCTTAATATTGTGGTAGCTCTTAAGATATTGTTTGAAAATGGTACCAAGTGTATATTACACAGTATTAAATACTGAGTGCACTTTTTTCTGTGCATATAAAAAAATGGTAGAAATCTCTCTGTTGTCCAAAGAAGCAGTCTATGGAGTGAATAAATTAATCCACACAGCAAGAGTATTTCTTACTCTCTGTCTCCCTCTTGCCCAGTCAGGCTAATTCTTCCAACAGCACCAAAGACCTTCAGACATTAACTACCTTCTGCACTTCCCACCAGCATGTGCTTCATGACCCTCCATAAATGCACTAAGGTGTAAGGATACTGATACACTGCATTTCGAAGATGGGAAGTGAACAGTACGATGCAATTGTTTATACTCACTAAACTGTACCAAGTGATGGATGAAACAAATTCATCAATAACTATGAAGGACTAACATGTATTATAGACCTCAGTGCAGGTAAAGAGATATACAGGGTGTTTGTTATGAAGGGATGAAGCCATCCTACTTCTCCTGAAGCAGTACTAAGCAAACTAACAACAACAACAATAAAACAGCAAAACTCTATATGTTATGAACATAGTCACAAATGTCCTTATTTTAGAGGAGGAATATACTGACAAAGAAAAATAAACAATTATGGGTACATTTTAAGAAAAAACTCTTAAGCACAGAAGCATCAACATATCTCTTTGAGGAATTAAGTGCCTATGTTAGCATTCTGTCACTGGGACAAATTGCTAGAGAAAATAAACAGAAAAAGAGGAAAAGGTAGTTTGGCCCACATCTTCATAGGATTTATCCATGGTGACTTAGTTCCATTGTTTTGGGCTATACAGTGAGGATGAATAACATAGTAGGGAGGGTGGATGAGGCCAGGAACCAAGGGAGAGAAGATGGAACTGGGGTCCCAATATCTGCTTCAAGGGTCTGGCCTCTCACACCAAACTGCCTTCTGCTAGGCACCAATTTTTAAAGTCCCACCACCTCCCAGTATGTGCATAGTTTCATCACCAAGCCCTCCACATATGGCCTTTGGGAGCTGTTTAAGATCTACTTTGGAACAATCCATATGAGCTGTATTCTTTCAGATCACAAAGGTGAGGTCTGAAAAAAAACAAAGAGAAGTATGTAATGAAGAGACGGGCTTGCGTGGAAACGAAAGACACAGACCAGGAGAAACAAGTAAGGGCTTCACTCTACCGTGAGGTGCTGTCCCTGAGCCCCACAGCTACACCTTTCATTCTGGACTGGAATCTCTGTAGGTTTCTACGTGACAACAGCTCCTAGGAAAATACAGGCTTCCTATGAAAGAGTGAGGTTGACACAAGAATAAGTCTCACACATTACACCCAAAAGTAAAAATAAAAGCTCAGTGCTTTTTGATAGGGTGAGATACCAGTTACTGAATTTTTTATTATTTCCTCTGTGATTGGGACTCTGTTTATGAAATGTTTGCCTACGCCTATGTCTTCAAGAGTTTTGCCTATTCTCTCTGCAGCAGATTCAGTGTTTCTGTCTTAATATTTAGGTCTTTGATCCATACTGATTTTAGTTCAGTGCATGGTGATGGACAGATATCTAGTTTTAATCTTTGTCATAGGGAAATCTAGGTTTTCTAGTGCCATTCATTAAAGAGACTACCTTTCTTCCATAACAAATGCTGAGGGGGCTGTGGGGAAAAGTGCACCCTTCTCTGCTGTTCGTGGGAGTGTAGACTGGT